CCCGCCCCTTCTCCCCACGCATTGGCCGCCACCACCCCCTTCATTCCCCATCGGCTGCCGGCGCGCGCTGGCCCCGCCCCCACGGCTGTCAATCACCCTGCTTGGGAGACGCCTCCTTTCCCCTCCTCTCCCTCCCCGGCTCCAGCGGGGATCCCCCCTCGCCCCCCCAAAAGGGGCCCAGGGGGCCCAGGGGCCCACCCCTCCCCCCTGCACAGCCCCCACAGTTCCAATTTCCACATCARTTTTATTAAAAGAGGTAAAAACCTGGTCAGCCCCCCACCCCGAGGGCCCAGGCGTCCAGCTCCCCCCACAAGGGGGTCTGTAGAGGGCAGGGGGCCCGTGAAGGGGGCCCAGGCGTCCAGGCCACCCCCATGACAGGCCCAGGCACCTGAGTGATTCCCCCGGGTCCCAGCAAGGCTCCAAAGAGCCAGGTCCCCTGCAAAAATAAGGGGCCCGGGCGTGCGGGGCGTCAGCGGCTCTTGCGGGGSGGCCGGTCGAAGACCCTCTGTGCGGTCACCAGCTGCCGCCAGGCGTCGGCCACCAGGAGGCCGGGGACCACGAGCCAGATGCCGTTGAGGGCCACGAAGTAGCCCCAGAAATAGAGGGGCCGGGGGTCGCTGTGGGCCCAGCCCCCCCGTGCCGCCGTCCAGAAGTAAAGGACGTCGCCGTAGATCTGCCCTGCGGGGGGAAACATGGGGCGGCGTGAGGGGCCCAAGCGTCTGGGATGAACCCCCAGGTCCCCTTGGCCACTTTTGGGGGGCGCCCAGGTGTCCGGGGAACAGCCTGCCCCCCCCCCCCAGGGGGCCATCAGGAGGGGGTCATCAGGACCCAGGAGGGGGAAACCCACCCACGGACACCAGCAGCTGCAGGACGTGTGGGGAACCCCCCTGCCCCCCACGGGGCCCCGGCGTCCGGGGACACCCACCCATGGACACCACGAGCTGCAGGACGTGCCGGGCCGGGTGCCCCCGCAGCAGCGCCACGAAGGTCGCCAGGCTGAGCGGCCCCCACGCCCAGGCCGTCACCGTCTCCATGGCGACCGTGAAGTCATCGC